TGTAAACACTGATGGGTTTTTTATCCATTCTTTTCTTTACAAAAAGTACTGTTTTTCCTGAGTTTGCAGAGCAGTGATTGCGGGCAATACCTCAAGAGATGGTTTGATAATGGTATATATTTGAATATTACATTTAACTATATTATCTTATGTGTTAATTAAACTGTCTTACAGTGCTTGTGTGTTCATGTGCTGTGCTCAAATCTATAGTGATAACTGGCAGCTTTCTTACCTTAGCCCATATTATGTATTTTGGAGTTGTGTTAACATGCAAACCCTGCATATTTAGGCTGAGGACCTCATTTGGATAATTTCAGATCTGGAATTACCAATCTCTGCTGAAGAAATAAAAGGCAGCTATAAATTTGAAAACCCTAGCTTCGTGACATCATAAGGTGGAACAGAGCATTTTGAGCTCTGAAGATGTAGACAGAGGTAATTCATTCTAGCATGCCTTAAAGCTCACAAATCAATTTTGGACCTTTAAAACCTAACTAACTTTCACAGTAATGATTAACCATGCGTAGAAAAGTATACATGGACCATTCCCTCTTCTAAAACAAAAAAAAGGGAGTTACATTTGTGTTTGTGAATGGTGCCAGTATTGGTGCACTCCAGAAGGCCATGGCGTGTCCCTGTGCCGTGTTCCTGATGTTTCCATGGAGATTGGTCACAGAAATGACAGAGCAGGACTTGCCCTCTGCTCTCTGTCATTACACACTTTTAATGCACCAACACACAGGCCTCCATACTCCTCCTCCTCCAAACCCCTTCACTCACTCACTCTCACTCTTTATTCCCACAGTGTAATTTACTCCTGTGGCTATAGTCAGCAAGTGAAAGCACCCCACTTTCCTTGTTTATTGTCCTTTTTATGGGCATATATGGATTTAGATGAAAGAAATGAAAATCTGGCAATTGCTAATTTTGAGTTTTTAAAGGCTGTTAGTTAACTTACAGCAAAACTGGAATGAATTTAAAGGAGTGTCTTATAATTTATTATGTGTGCAAGATTAGGCGCCCTGCTTTGTCATACATTATTATTATTATTATTATTATTATTATTAAGTTATTATTTTTTTTCCAAATTTATGTCATTAAAATGTAGTTGTTCTTACTGGTTGAAATATATGCATGATGCTTTCAGAAATTAAACATAGCAATAAGCCCTTCCTACAGACCAACTACAATTGATGTAAAAGACTTTGAGCTGCGTTTAGACCTGCCCTGTTTGGGCCCAGTTTAAATCCTTCACAGATTTGGTTTGGTCCTGTTCTAGTCCTGGTTTAATCCTGGTCTAGGTCTTGGTTTAGTCCTGGTTTAGTCTTGGTCTGGTCTTGGTTTAGTTCCGGGTTTAGTATCTATTTAGTCCCCGTTTTGATGTGGGGATTGTGTAAGTGTGAATGCACACTCTTACTAAAAGGTTTCAGTGTCTCTTTGGTTGCGTACCTGTGCCTGGTCTCTGACCTCTTGCCTCAGGTGTGTTGCTGTTTATGTTTTGGCAGAGATAAATCGCTCCCTCCACTTTGGCCCTGTCAGATTTACCTGTCAGGACCCTCCTTTCCCCCTCCTCTCACACCCTTATACCACTCCTCCTAAATTAGCTCTCATCACAGCTCCTTGTTAAAATTAGAAGCAGACTGTTGTGGTGGCAGTGTTGTTTGTTAGTTTTGCACTTATGACGTCCTCCCCGTAAACCTCAGTAAACCACAGTCATTTCCTCTGCTCTGCTGGGAGGGTTTTCGTTGGTTGCCAGATAGTGTTTAATGCCGTCTCAAGTTGCAGCTCATTAGGGATGGGTGTTTACCTGACCACAGCCATGTCTTTGCTGTTCAGATCACAACAGATTGCCTGGCTTTATTGCAGTATTTTCTTTTTGCATTTAAAGGGTTAGCTGATTGTGTAAAGTGATAATGAATGTATATTAGAATATTATTTATTATTTCAACTATTCTTATGTTATATACAAATGCTTTAGCAATAATTAAGTCAACAGTTGATCTATTCAGTTTTCCTCACTGACAGTATTTAGTTTTACACTTTAACAAAGATGGCTACATGGATTTTTTTAACCCTGTATGACACTGTGTTTGAAATTTTCAAATAATTGCAAGTAAGTACAGAGCACCGTCAAATGTAGGACTATATAGTAAGGATGTAACAGTGTCTCACAGGGTCTCACAATAATATCATGGATCATCACAATATATCAAATTACAAGTCTCTTCACTTAAATTAATAGTTGTGGTGCAGCAATAGCTAAAAAAAAAAAACAGAGGGAACTACATAGACCATGATCCTTTGCTCTGTTTTAGTGTAGACTAGATGAAGAAATAACTGTTATAAGCAGTTTTTAATTTTAGTTCTTTGGGTTCAGTCTTGTCAAGTAATTTAAGAGGAAAAAGTAGCATATTCACAGTTTTGTTAGCCTCCACAAAATATCGTACCGTGAGATGTATATTGTGAAAATATCGTACTGAGAAATTTGGATATTGTTACATCCCTACTATACAGGATTACTCTAATATGCATTGCACAACTTTGAGTAAGCTAATGATGATGGTACATTTTAATAACGTGGCTTAAAGCGCATAAAAGCCAATTTTGCTTAATATGTCCCCTTTAAAGTTTCTTAACTTCGGTGAAATTGTTGTTCAAGGTTTTATGGCTGAGCTGAACATGTTTGGGCGTGTGGGTTGTTGTTGACCGGATTGTGGTATTACTAATACTTAAGTAAGCCTCCATTAAGCTGTAAGCCATCCATTTGAGAAATGTATTATGATGATATAGAATTCTTGAATTGTAGGAAGCTATTTAAAACAACTATGTGTATCTGTTTTAGGCTGGCTTCCTTTTAGTGCCAGGATTAGAGGATTGCATTTGGAACTTTTGAACCCCAGGTAAAGCAAATTCCCACATGTTGAGCATCCAGCCCTTCTTTTTTTAAACTTTTGTGACCGCACCCGATTTAGGCCCATGCACGTTCTACAATTACTGCTGAGATGAAACAGGGCTGAAACTGTTGCACCACTGTTGGAGGCCAAATCAAAGAGGTTATGCTAATTTTAATTTAACCTCTTACTGACCCATCAGTGCCATTCAGTCTTTCCCTGCAGCAGCAAACAATGCCTAGAAATGTGAATGCACTAAAACTTATGGAAGATTTTAACCATTAATTTAACATGCTGTCATATAAGCTAACTTGTGAATAACAAAGAATATAGGGCATTTTATCCTGTCCTATATAGTGCTAAGTACATATATTTACATTGCAATTATAAGTAAGGTAATGAGTAATGTGATTGCGATTAGATTTGCAATGTATGTTCTGTTAAGGGTCCACATTGTAAATAACTCCAGGAACATTAACATTTGAGAGAAGACTGAAATATGAACTGATAAACTATTAAATAATTGCAGCCTTAGTGAGAATTTTATCATTGTGCCAAGACAAATTCCGATTTCTATTCAATTGCTATACACATTGCAGCCTTAATTGCAGTTTATCTTGACTTTGGCTGGATAAGGCTAATGCTTGGCAGTTGGTAGTTGGCACAGGTCTCCTCTCCAAGTGTTTCAAGTTCTTTGAGTTTGAATCATGGCTGTGTAGATGTTGACCTTGCTGATTAACTGTTTAAATGAATTGTCATTATGTGTTAGCAGATTTCAGACTCTTGGGAGATGTGATGATTTGGTAATGGGGAGACATTAGCTGATAATTGTCCTGCAGTTCAGTTGTGTATAGCAGGGGTCCCCAACCCCCAGGCCATGGACTGGTCCTGGGCCATGGGTCGTTTGGTACCGGGCTGCGAAAGAGCAAGCCCCCCCACCCATACACCTCATATGTTGCGTGCGTGGACTACGCCTCCTCTCGTGTTTACCGCACTCTAAACCAGAAATAAAACCAGGACTAAACAAGTACTAAACCAAAACTAAAACCAGGACTACAATCAGGTCTAAAACAGGTCTAAAACCAGGAATAAAACAGGATTTAACCAGGACTAAACTGTGCCGTGCAGATCGTGTCTCCTCCCGTACGCCACCAATCCGTGAAATTATTGTTGGACATAAAACCGGTCCGTGGCAGAAAAAAGGTTGGGGACCACTGGTGTACAGCACAACTAAAGTCTAATGAGTAATCATCTGATGATTTTAGGAGCTACATGCTATTTTGCTGTGTGTGTACCCATGTTTATGTAGTTCTGTGTCCCAACATTTCTTGGAAATTTTAGAAAAAAAAGACTGTGTTCCTCTGACCTGTTTTCTCACATTTCAAATAATATTTTTTTACTGTTAATCCATAACACCCACCCTCACCCTTGCCCTAGCCTTATACATAATCTAAAAAACAGGTCCTCAGCTTAATCTTAATTTTACACTAACCCTACAATGAGACAGGAATCTTACACCTTTAAACCCTAAAAATAACTATTATTGTACAAAAGTCCCTAAACTTAACCAAAACACTTTATAGTAATGTTCCAAGGTCCTTGTGTTGCTGACTATAAAAAATAATTTCTAGCATATGTAGGAACATAGAGCTGACCCTGTTTTTAGACATCTTTAAAATGAGACTGCTTTACCATATCTACCTTTACTCTGGTTGTCTTTCCTGATTCACTCTGTGTGTATAATTTGCATGGAGAACACGTGTTACATTTTGGTCTCCCTGTGAACTTTCAAGTGGCCTATGGAGGCAGGTGTAAAAGTGTATTTTGATCAGTGTACTCAATCCAAAAATCAAGGTGTGACTGCCATCTAGTGGATTAAAACAGCATTCTGACAGTGAGCAGGGTTCCATCTCCACAGATCTGACCTCTAACTTGGTCTCGTTTGGTCTCCATGAAGATAGAAAGGTTTAATACTGTACTGTAAAACAGTCCAGACAAAGCAATAACATCTCCATGGAGAAAAGCATTTGACGGACCCTCCACCAGTTATTTTGCACAAAATCTAAACTCTTGTAAGGTTTTTGACAGTGGTGTTTTTCTGTTTTTCAGGCTCGCATGGCCTTGGAGAAAGGAGCCCAGGCTGTTATTTTTGATGTCAGTGATGATGACATCGCTGCTGCTGAGGTGACTGACCCACTGAAACTAATTATATGTATTTATATTGTATACTTATTGTATACTTATATTAATCAATCTTAGTTTTAATCCCAAACTCTCTTTCATACGTCTTTTAATTTATCATAGTTTATATATTGTTATTAATTGTATATGTTGCACCATATCACCTAAGTACATTCCGAATTTGAGAATTTTGTTCATTGACAATGGCAATAAAATATTTTCTGATTCTTTCTCAGATTATGAGGTACACAGAGAGAAGTGAGTTTAAAATGAACTTGACCTCACATTACGCTCTTATTATGATTTTGTTTGTACAAAGCTCAGAGAAGCAGACTCGCTCCCACGTCCAGTGGTCCTGGTGGAGGCGGGTGATGCTAAGGAGTTAATGGACTTGGTCAACAAGAACGAGGAGGCAATGGTGCGAATTGAGATCAAAATGGAAACCCCCAAATGGGTGAGGCACCGATACTGAAAAACTGTAACTACAAAAATACTTTAAAGTGAGCGAGAAGTTTATAAAGCGATGCACTTCTGTTACAGCCCCATTATGATGTTGGTATTCTGCTTACCATCGTCCTAGCGATTCTCACAATTATCTTAATTTTTGCTTTTCGATATAAGTGCAAGTCTAACAGGACCTGGGTAAGTGACAGAACTTCACTTATGTTGTATAATAAATGAATAAATACATTATCACTGTATTATAAATTTTAAAATAATAATTCATATACATCTTTCCTCACAGGATTCAGTTCATCAACAGACTATGCGAGCCATTAGTCGGTTGGAGACCAAAACTTACAACTCTCAGGGCTGCTCAGGATCACAGCGCCATCGTGGGGCCTGGGGGTCAACTAGCAGCAACTCCAGTCCAGTGTGTGCCATCTGCCTCGAGGACTTCCAAGACGGACAGGTAGTGTACATCAGGTTAATTTTGTATTTACTATGTTTGGTCTTTTCAAGTACAATGTGGTTCTGTTTCCACAGAACCTGAGGATCATCTCCTGCGCTCATGAGTTTCATAAAGACTGTGTGGACCCATGGCTTCTCCAGCACCGCACCTGTCCCCTGTGCATGCACAACATCATGGGTGGGTCTATAGTTCAGTGTACTTCAGTATACTTCAGTGTGTGGAGTAATATAATTCAGTGCTTTAGTCATACTGATTTGTATTGTTGTTTACAGGAGTGGACAGGCAGAGTCAGAGGAGCAGACTTCACCCAGGCTCAGAGCAGACCCAGAGCTTCCTGCCTCAGGCATACAGCAACCCCCACAGCCACCCTTTCCCTCAGCACGCCATTCCCTTCTCTATGAGGCCACACTACCCTCGAGGGCCCTCTGGACATTACCCCTCTTTGGGACACTACCCGGGTTCTTCTATGGAGCAGTCAGTACGTTTTGTCTCTGGACGACCCCTGGGCTCAAATTGTGGATACCATGTCCCTGCAGAGGGCCCCGGGAGGCCCCACAGGATCACGGGTAACTGCAGGACTTCACATCATTACGGGCCTCGTCGGTCTTGCCACACTTATCGCTCGTGTGCCGCCCAGCGCAGCGGGTCCAGCTCCAGACTGCACCACTCGGCCCTGGGCTCTCAGCCCCGAGGGGCCAGCCACAGTCACCAGGATGAGGGCAGCTGTTCAGGAGGCAGTTACCACACAGAGCGCAGTGGATATTTAGCTGACGGACCGGCCAGCGACTCCAGCTCAGGGCCCTGCCACGGCTCGTCCAGTGACTCTGTGTTAAACTGTACGGACGTGTCTCTGCAGGGCGTCTATGGCAGCTGGTCCACTTTCCGCAGCTCTTTGAGCAGTGACTATGACCCCTTTGTGTTCTATGGCCCAGCTCCAGAGCCAGGGGCCCAGGCGCGGCCCCGCTCTCTTGACTCTGTGGTGAATAAAACGGGCTGTGAGGAGCAGCCTCAGACTGTCTTTAGCCATGTGCACTTCCACCGTCACAGGCACCACCACTATGAGGAGCCTGAGCACAGCCAGGCCCCACC